AATAGATTTCGCATAATATGGCTTTAAAAACTACGAATTTTACAAAGAATGTATGGGCTCATTAGCGCTTTGCCACACAGACTTTGCCACACAGAAAAAAGCCACGAAATAAGAAAACTTAAATCAAAACTTAGAAAACCTCGTAAATCTACAGATTTCACAATACTTTGAGCTTTTTGCATGCAATTTTAAACACGATATATCAGTTTTGAGAACAATGGAAAATCGGGCTGTGTGGCAAAACGCTAATGAGCCCATACATTCTTTGTAAAATTCGTAGTTTTGAAAACCATATTACTCCAAATCTATTCCATGGATTTAGCTCAAACTATCAATAACAGCTAATCTTACAGAGTTCTTTCAATATTCAGTGTGTATGTGGTGTTAGCMGAAAAAAAAATAAAATGTAAACAATGACGTCAGCAAAGATCCACCTAGTTTTCTATCCTTTCAGCTTTGTAGGAGAAAACTAGGTTTTCAAACTTTATCTTTTGAACTAGACTAAGTTATCGTTAAYCAATATTCGGAATATTTGTAGTATCATACATTTTAAAAGCTCTTGATGCGCATGGATATTTCATATCATGTCAATCTGTAGCCGAGGTCGGTGGGAATTACAGATCACGGTTTTTTTCAGGAGTCAGGATTGGCATCATTTACCGTAAGGACTCAAGTTTAGATTAGACTTTCTAAAAGTAGTAAGTCGAACGMTTTTAGGTTTTGTCTTTGCAGGACTAATATACCTGATGACGCGATTTCGTTTCTGTTTCACACAGTAAATATATGAAGTCAACCACTGRACATTCCAAAGTGCCGATTACTTCGATTACAAATTGAAGGCACACTACGCCGTCAACAAATATCTCTCCTCCATCTTCCGAGTTGTTTAGACACTAGTGGACTAGAGCGCAGTTTTCCCCATAATACAAATATAGGTTTAAGGCGATTAACCATAGTTAATAACTATGGATTTAGATTTCGAGTTTCGAGACAGCGTTGCAGGCTTTGTTATTACATTTCCCGCCAAAAAGTYGCCCAATACATATAATTCTTTGAATTGATTCTGTTACAAACTAAGCAAAATGTAGGGCTGTGCTGATATTGTCTCTTCTTTTACAATCATTTCTCTTAGAGGAAAAGTTGCGAATGAGCAATTGATGATAATATTCTCCGTCACAAGCGAGGTTTTTGGCGAAAAACGCAAATGGAAATCCATTAATCCCTCTTGCAACTAAAACGACTGATGTGTTAGCGTGACTTATAGCATGTTTAGGATCGGAGTATATTTAATCTTTTTGGATGGCGATTTCCTCCTTCAATTAGGTATTCGGACCACATAAGCCCGGTGKGTGGGTTAATTAGCCGTGAGGCTTGAATCGCTGGACGAAAATACTTTATACTAACTTGTATTACTACCCTATAATGAATAAGACAAAATTTAAATGGGAAACTTACCTTAACAGGAGAATTGGCACTTTGCTCTCAGCTTCAAGTGAACTTCTAATGTCGCTGTATTTGAATGAAGTTGGAACAAACAAACCTTTGCCATAAATAACCTATGCATGCAATAGAGTGGAACCAAGTATAAAGAAGTTGCACTCTATTGACTTAAACTAAAAGTCAAACCCGTATTGATTGGTTTATTAACCCGGGCTTTTGTGCCTTTGGCACATCTTCAGGTCGAACAAATACAATTTTGTATTGGCTCAATTTGCCCTTGAGGCGAAAAACCAATCAATACTTGGTTGACACCTACTTTTAGTCAATAGCGTGGAACGTCTTTACATTTGGCAGAACAGAAGGAGGATTAACTAGTTCCTTGTATGATTAAAATCACATAGAGTGCATGTCATAAATGTGTGAAACAATAGCGTAACTATTTTTTAGGCGTATCGGTATTAAGTTGCATAGCTGCTAACTTCGTAGTTATTTTCTTCATATAAGAATTGATTCAGGCGTAAAAACAAAGACACAAAGAAATGTCTATCTTTGATTTCTTTGTGTCTTTGTTTTTACGCCTGAATCAATTCTTATATGAAGAAAATAACTACGAAGTTAGCAGCTATGCAACTTAATACCGATACGCCCAAAAAATAGTTACGCTATTGTTTCACACATTTATGACATGCACTCTATAAAGAAAATCGCTTTTTTAATAGGAATATCAGGCACTGGTCCTAGGGAACAACTAGAAAGCTAGAGGGTCAGAGTTCTGTTATTAGTTTGAAAAAGATATAATGGTTTTGCATTTTCACAAAAACTTTGCCATAAATATTCTATGCATACAATAGAGTGGAACCAAGTGTAAAGACATCAAAAATAATGCCATTTTCTTATATGTGATTTTRATCATGCAAGGAACTAATTAATCCTCCTTCTGTCCTGCCAACTGTAGAGACGTTCCACTCTATTGACTAAAACTAGGTGATTGGTTTATTTTGCATTTTTTCAATTCGCCCTTGAAGGTGTGCCAAATGCACGAAAGCTTGGCTTAATAAACCAATCAATACGTGGTTGACACCTACTTTTAGTCAATAGAGTGGAACGTCTCTACAGTTGGAAGGACATAAGGAGGATTAATTAGTTCCTTGCATGATTAAAATCACATATAAGAAAATTACTTTTTTTAATAGGAATGTCAGGCACTGGTCCTAGGGAACAACTAGAAAGCTAGAGGGTCAGAGTTCTGTTATTAGTTTGAAAAAGATATAATGGATTTGCATTTTCAAAATGATCATG